AGCAGGTAAAAAAGCGCTTTTTGAAATTCAACAGCTCATAACTTCTTCAGAACTGCATGAATCATATTGCGACTTCATAGGTTAGATTCTTCTCATCAGGGCTTTCAGATGGTATATGATATGTGGGGGTTTAGAGCCTCCTACGAATTATGCCCGTGGGGGGAGCCTTTTCATACCAAAGTCTCCCCCCTCCAATATATTAAAGGCAGTGTCCGGGCGGGGGTTCTGAGATTTCTCTGCCATGTGAAAGTAGCCCCCCTGAGACACAACATCGCGCAACTGCGAGCATAAAACGTTCGACCTAAAGCAAGAAAAACGATTGCAAATTGGGGAAACTTACGCCTTGGGGCGGGGTCCTCCGAGTTGTTTGAATTCCTGCCAGACGGCAGAGTACGTATGCCGCCACAGTTAAAAACCGTGCGCTCTTTGCAACCTCTGCGTCTTAGCCTGGCGGGGATCCCCAAATTTCGAAATGTGAGGACTTGGAAAATGCATGTTCTCGCCGTTTTCGCGCCTTCTGATGTGGATTTTCGGAATCAGCGTTGCGGATAACCCCAGATAAGTTGATTTTTAGAAGTCGAGTTTCTGCCCGGACACTGCCTTTAAGTGGGCTAGGGGGAGACTTTGGTATGAAAAGGCTCCCCCCACGGGCATAATTCGTAGGAGGCTCTAAACCTCCACATGTTAAATATCATCTGAAAGCTCTTGATGAGAAGAATCTAACCTATGAAGTCGCAATATGATTCATGCAGTTCTGTGGCCGTATTCATCAACGAACCCTGAGAGTTAAGCTTACCTTCCAGGGTTAGTTTAACCCTCAGGGTTCATTGGCCGTATTCATCAACCATAGGCTAGGGTTTACCACGGAACGCGATCTACCCGTATCGATCAACGAACCTGTGGCCGTAATCATCAACGAACCCTTTGGTTGATGAATACGGCCAATGAACCCTGAGGGTTAAACTAACCCTGGAGGGTTAAGGCGTCAGTTCTGCGTGCGCTGTGCGAACTCGCATCACAGAATGCCTAAGTACGCTAAATTTACTTTATACTTCTATTCTTTCACTGTTATAGTAGTATAATCAACGAATAAGCTTCTAGCACTAGTTTTTATAATACATCTCTAGCATATTTGTGCAGCATCCACTCTTACAGCGTGGGTTTATTTTCATGTGTGCAATTGTGCCGTGTAATCTTTTGCGTAGTTCGTTTTATACCGGGCTTATGCTACTTTTTTAGGGGTCAGTGCGTGTTATCATAAAGGGGTTCTTCAGTTTTGGCACTTGTCAGAGTGGAATGCGCAACCATTTTTCCTCGTTGCATTCATTTGCCACCAAGCTAGGATTTTTTTCTCGCGAAGTCAGTGTTTCATGTACTTCGAATTTGAACACGAAACGAAGTTGAAACTAGATACTATAACAACTAATACTAAGTACTACAACACTCGTTAATCTTTTTCTATAAAACTACATGCGAGTAAATGTTTGTATGAAGTGGGTAGAGTTAACCTTGCTCTGAGCTAGGGTTAAATTAACCCTGATGAATCACGTAAGTTTAACCCTCCAGGGTTAGTTTAACCCTCACGGTTCGTTGATGAATACGGGTTAGTCGCTTTCGGGGTAAAATTAACCCTCAAGGTTGGATTTAACCCTCAGGGTTAAGCCTACCCTGTGTTTCATGAATACGGGTTAAACGCTTTCCAGGGTTAAACTAACCCTCCAGGGTTAGTTTAACCCTCGGGGTTCGTTGATGAATACGGCCACTGAAGAAGTTATGAGCTGTTGAGTTTCAAAAAGCGCTTTTTTACTTGCTTCTTCAAGACTCTGGATCTCGGAGGTGTTTTGATGAATCGGAACGGCTAAGATATATCCTGATAAGGCAAACCTCAATCTATAAAACTTATGAAGTCGCAGCATCACACACTTTCACATTCAAGATTTATATGAGTTTAACTGTTAACTGTCAAAAAACACGCAAAAATGGCGTATTTTCAGAATTCTGGTTTTCAACGTCTCTCAAATCCACTCGATTCTTTCACTAGCTGATAGAGCACCATTTACTCTTCAAAACCTATGAAGTGCAACTGCTGACATCTTCAAACAACAGATTTATAACAGTGGAAATTTTGCATGATTTTTCACTGTTTAGTTATTCAAAATTCTGGTTCTCGCCGTTGCTGCCTGGATCGATCTACTTTCTTCGCTGTACGTTATAACAAAACTTGATTAATAAAATCCTTACAGTCAACAAACTTTTACTTCCAAATACACCATTTACTAAACACGTCTATTGTAAATTTTCATAAATAGAATTTATAAATATTTTTAATATTCATCGTATCTGTGGCCCCTAAGAAGGCCGTTAAGTCACAGTTCGACCTAGAAAGATAGCTCTGCTCTGTTTGTCCGTTCCATCCCCCCCCCGCACCTCCCGCTCCCCCCCCCCCCCGTCGACGTTTTTGGGAGGTAAGTGTCCGACACTACCACCTTCACTTTTGGCCAACCAGTGGTAGCTGGGACCACCTTCACTTTTGGTGAGCCCGGCTCCCCCCATCGCACCTCTGATCAGTAGGCACTAGAAAGAGCAAGAAAGGTGCTTCTAGACGATGGTTATGCTGCCATAAGTGCAAAATCCTGAAAAAATTGCTGCGTTAAGACAAGGCAATTAAAATCGGACAGAACTTTTGAATCAGCCTAGTATACAATTCGTCTCCACTCGTATACTTTATTTGGTTGGTTGGTTACAGCCGAGTTCACAGCGGAAGAACTTTGGCTAACTCTTTAGGCCCCGGACAGGCTTCACGCGATTTGATCGTCGAGACTAAATCGCGACGAGGCAACTGTTACAACATCCATGCCGATCAACATGCATTTCGGTTGTGATACTTTTCCAGCCCGAAATTTTTGAATGTGAAATGAAAATGAATGGAGATGTCGGCATTGAGTCGCGACGATCAAATCGCGTGAAGTCTGTCCGGGGCCTTACGTTGTGCCTTGAAGTATACAAGTTCATGACAACTTTATCTCAGTTTCCGCGACGCTATGCTAAATCCTGTCGGACTTCACCGAAGAGCACTTACTAGTGCCAAAGCGCACATCATACTTATCCACTTTATACACTTTACTTTACCCGCTTCGAAGGCAATCCGTCAAAAGTGTTGATACGCTTTTTGTTTTAACGCGGATGAAGTGTAGAGATTAAGTATAGTTCATTCGTTGAACGCACGGATTGGGCATCACTACGGAACACACGCAGCGAGGTGATACGCCTGCCTCAGTACAAATCGCCATTGTACAAGTCGTATTTTTGCAACACTTTAGCCGCGGGTCCGCCGCGTTTGAGCAGTCCGTGCGTCAACGAATCAACAATACAGCATATGCCAAAAACGCCCAAGCACCAAGAGAAATCAGAAAGAGCTAAATTAAATAGCTTTTTTGCTTGCAGAATTTGATGCTAGAGTATCAGCCCTACACAAATCGTTTGACACTAGACTGGTTTAACTTGGTGAGTAATCCTTAAGAAACTTTGAAGAAGAATCACGAATACGACATAAGATACATAAGAACAATCCCAAAATCCAGATAGAGTATTCATATAAACCGCTGAATCAAAGCAAGGTTTAATCAAGCCAGCACCGACTAAATGCGTTTTATCAGTTGCTATCGAGCAAATAGGCCGTTCTTCAATCTTGATTAAACATACGAAGATCCGTTAAAAAAATTGGTTATTTTTCCAAAAAAACTCGTCAAGCTACATCACGAAAGCAATTTATAGTAATGCTTGCGCTGACATAAAGCGTATCAAAAACATGGAATGATGAATCTGATATAGACAAATCTGAATAGCCTGAGCCTCGTTGGTAGGTAGTGGATATGGGACTTACTCTAAACTAGAATGCGAGATAACTCTTAGCGCTGTCTGGTAAGTTTAAGTGTTTTTTTAGGTTTTATAACGCTTTTGAGTCGACTTTAACGGACTCAATATCACCTTTCTCACAATTTTGATCACCTTGCTTAAATCTTTGACAACTTGAATAGCTTGTTGGGTCACCCGATAATTGATAGGAGGCAAAATATAATCTCCTCTGTTGTATCCTACATTTACGGTCTCATGAGCATTGTTATCCACTCTTGCGAAAATTAAGCAAAGATATAGTGGTGTAGCTAACGATAAGTTAGGTTGCTTTTTCTTTAGAAAGCAAAGCATTCAATGTTCAGCATCTTCTCAGAAAAAACCGTTTTTGACTGAAACCATATAAGACTCTAAATTAAATTAGCTTATATCTCGGACAAAGCTTTAGCAAAAAAAACTTCGCGTTTGACAACCTGTGCAAGAAGTTGTACCTCAAAATCTTACAGATAAGTCCGCTTTTTTAACAAGAAACATCGGTGAAAATGCACCCTCGCACCGACAAGAATCCCGCAGATAAGTCCCCCAATCAGATAAGTCCGTCTACAGATAAGTCCGGGCTTACCTGACAATCTTCGGACTTATCTGACGAGATTTCAGGGTAGTTATAATAGAAAGAAAACGGACTGATCTGTTGGCGGACTTATCTGAAAGACCTTAACTGACAAGGAAAGGATACCAACTTAGATTCGCTTCTGGAGTTGGGACACATATATTTGGAATCAGCTTTGAACGCTGATTCCAAATATGCTATTCCTAGTTGCTTAGCAATTTCTAACAAATTGTGGGCTTGCTGTTGCGAGTGACTAACAAACTTCTGAATGTGTTGTGAGTGACCAACAAATTTCTGAATGTCGAAAGACGGCCTGTAGCTAGGAATCTGCTCGAAAAAAGTGTTACGATGTTGAAATGGGGCATTATACAATTGCAAAACCACCTAGACTTCCACATCGTAGCATCAGTAGGTCGAGGAGCACGCAAATTTTGTATAGAAAGGAGAACCATATTTTTGTTTCTTTTTGTTTCTGTTTTTGAATGAGTTGCATGGTAACAGAACTTACCCTCAGACTGAACAATTATAAATCGATTTAGGCCAGAAGACATAGATATTTGGAGCGTAACCTCTATAACTACTGCATGTATTTGAGTCTTGCTTGTTGCATGGTGGGCTTGTTCTGCATCGCCTTTGTCTCTGAAAGTGTGGTATGTCAGTATGTTCTTCACGGCCTCGGTCAATAATTCTATCAAACATTCAAGAAATACAACGGTGACCTCAAGCGAATAAAACAAGAACGTGTGAAATTAGCAGAACATTCGACGAAGATATTCAAGCGGATTAGGACAAAGAAGAATCACATGCACATGAATAAGCAAGGCCATGGACGAAATGAGAAGGTATCTGCTAATTGCTCTATTAATATACCATGCGTCACCTCTGCTTCACAGAGGCTTGCACTGGTATCCTACTATCTGAGTGCCCTATTCATTCTCTCAAAATGATGGCATTGAAGCTCACCGCAATGCCGACTATCACGAATAAAATGTATATAACTACTCATTCTAAAAGCTTTTTATGTGAAATCGGTGATTTTTCGTGGACGAAATTCTTTGCAGAAGAACAAACGCAAATCTGAATAGGTTTTTGAATTTTTCGTTGTTTTGGTAGTCGGAAGGAACAACTATCACCGTGGACTACAATTTTGCGCAAAAATAAGATTGCTCGTGCTTTTGCACGCAGGACTTTCATGCTGGTAGCAGGCGCTGTGCAAAGTTTGAGCCCAGGAGGTTGGCTGGAACACGCCCTACGGAGTTCGTACACACACACACACCACACACACACACACACACACACCACACACACACACACCACACACACCACACACACCACACACACACCACACACACACCACACACACACCACACACACACACACACCACACACACACCACACACACACCACACACACACCACACACACCACACACACACACCACACACACACAACACACAACACAACACATTATTATATTTTTACATTGTTATTAAAAGTAACTAGCCGACATCCCCGGCCAAGCCCGGGCAGTGGTAAACCGCTTAGCATGGTTATCAAAGAGTTTATAACTTACAGTCCCTCCCTTTCTCTCCATTCTTGATTCTTGTGGCCTCTTTCCTTCTTCCTTCCTGCTTCTGTTCCTGGTTTGCACTGCGGCCCTCGAGGTACCCGCAGTAGTTGTCTTCTTTCTTGATCGCCCGCCTCTTTTCGTGGAACCGCATCTCCCTCGCCGCGACATGTAAATGATCTTTGCCGCCCTCCTTCTATTTGACTTGAGGAAATGAACAGGTTGATAAGCGTTCATTTTGCTAGATTAAGTAAACAAATCAATAAATCGATGGAAGGACCCAGCGACTTGTTGCGAAAAGTAGCCTATCTTCTGCGCCGTGGCTTGTTTATAGGAAAGAGAATTTCGCCTTTTCAGTTCATATGCAAAGGAGTCTACAAGTCACAAACATCCTAACAAACAAAGTGACAGTGTTTGAGTTTTATATTAGGTCGTTGCGAAAGTAACTTTTTTCAAGCGTACGCCACATCTCGCGGAACAAAGATGTGCAAGAGATTCTAGTAGCATTTGATGCAGATCTACATTCTCTTTCTAATGGTTATATAACCACTGCACAAAATTCATAACCTCTCGAAAAATTATCAAAATCTGCGACCCATGTTTCTTAAGAAAGCCAAGCTTCACAATTTTTCTAAATTTTTATAACAACTCTCGGAAGGAATCCAAGTAATGGATGGATAGAGCAAACCCTACAAAAAGCAGCACAACTTTTTTTTACTTTCCAGAGTTCGTAATACTTTTTATATAGATTTCTTGATGGAACCACCAAATTTTAGCAGGCTCGTCGCAGACATAAATGCATCAAACACCGATAAATCTACGGATTTTGAAACTTACAAAGATGGATTATGGTTTGGCACTAATTTTACAAAGCGAATGAGCATTCACCGCTTCAGGTTAGCAACTTTCGAAAATTCAGGGTACAGCCTGGAGCGCTTTGGAAAACCTGATTTATGATGATTTTATCCCGGAAAACTTTATGAATCGGGAACCAAAAACAACTGAAAGAGGAGAAAAAGCTGCGTCGAATGACACCCGACTTGCTTGCCGGTTGTTGTTCTGTGAGGTTTTAATTGACAGATGTGGAATTTGATAGCATTAGAAAATTGATTTTGGAAATTCTAGGAGGCGAGCTAAAGAAAAGAAAAAAGTTGTTTTGTATCCTATAGGGTTTGGTCTACCTAACTGTCACTTGCAGTTCTTCGGAGAATAAGTACAAAAATTTAGAAAAATAGCCGAACTTGACCATGACAAAAAGCATGAGTCGAAGATTTTGGTAAATTTTCAGGAGCTCATTGAATATTATGCAATCAAATTACAAACATTTGAAAGTGGATGAAACGGTGCATCGAATGCTACCAAGACCTCTTAGAAATCTTGCTTCCACGAATTGTAGCGTTCATTTGAAAAAAGCGACATTACTTTCGGAACGACCTAATATATATCTAATTATGATCGTACATGTTTTGAGCAAAGGGCTGTAATGAAAGCGATTTTCGGTGCAAATAAGCAGGTTTTAAGCATTGCAGAATGTCCAAAAGTATGTCCACATTGTATTAGGTTGGTCCGAAAGTTCTGTCCCACCATTTTCAAAGAATCATAACTTCCTCCTAACATGATGCTTCTGTATATCTAAAACCTTGTTGAAAAAAGCAAGTCATGCACTTTCTAAAACTACCTTGGCTGCTATCTACTAAGCTTGCAATGCAGAGATGAAATTGGAAAAAAGAAATCACTTCAAGTTCGGAATTTTTGAGCAATAAATTCCAGAACAACCATTATCCTAGGTTTTCTGATCTCCTCTTTCTATATAAGCAAAAGTCGCGCTGATGGAGCCCTTCCTAGAAAAGTTATGATTTTCAGGAAAAAATGCCAAAAAATCAGTTCCTTAAGAAAATTGATTTTTTGCCATTTTTTTTCAAAAAATTATAGCTTTTGAAGTAACAGCTCGATCAGCGCAAATTTCACTCAGCTGGAAAGAGAGGGTCAAAAAGTCTAAAATAATGGCTGTTTTGGATTTTAGCACAGTTTTGGATTTTTTAGCAGGCTTTTAGAAATTCCGAACTTGAAGTGACTTTCTTTTCCCAATTTTATCTCTGCATTAAGAGCTTAGTTAATAGCATCCAAGACGGTTTTAGAAAGTGCATGAATTGCTCTTTCCAAAAAGGTTTTAGCTATGCAGAAACATCACGTTGGGAGGAAGTTATGATTATTTGAAAATGGTGGGACAGAACTTTCGGACCAACCTAATATTATCGTCGATATGCATTTTGTCTAAGCAACATCGCGAACTTCCTCATTCGAGCTGGCTTTGGCGTTAGATTTGCCATGCAAGGCAAAACATCGTTTGTTCCTTCTTACTGTGTGTTTACGGCAACTTCAAAAACGGTATCTTCTCAGGATCTCAGATAAGTAGCAGCTGCCGCCGATCACCTACATGCGACGTCAAACCCACCCAGTGCGAGTATGAGCGCTCACACCAACTCATGCTTCCTCCAATAAGTGCCCACTCCGTAGAATTCCGTGGGCGCTGCGAAAATCCAGCCGCAAATAGCCTGGCTTGACAAATTAGTTCAACCTCTAATCTAGAGCACTGTTATTCCTATGCATATTGGACTCGCACTCGCTATGCACTATGCTAACTTTCTACTAGTTCTTATCTTTTTAGAACTTTTTTGATAGTGCAGTGAATAACACTATGACAAATAACTACATTATGCAAAACCTCAGCAAACTCAAGAATGTCTAACGCTCACTTGCATACACGCACACACACATCCAGCAGCTCATAAGGGAGCCCTACCATGCGAAACGTGCAAATTTTTAGAAACAATATGTTGTCATTCATTGTCTACAATTTTTTAGCCTTCTACAATGTCTAAAAAGCTTCAAGTTCAAACGTGAGCTGACTAATTTCATTGAAGTTCAGGAAACCAACTTTTCTTTACTCTAAGCAGCACTCTTCTTTGTTTATGGTGGGAAATCGACTTCACATCGTCGGCAAGAGGTAGTCGCAAAAGGCCAAAGGCAAACCGCCAAAAGTCCAATCAACGAAGTTTTTTTACCGAGTTCAGTCTATAGATTTCTTCAAAGTGGGAACAAGTTAAAGTAGCTGGAAATTCTAGTAAACAAACTGAAAAATTGCTAATGGGATCAGGCAACTTTGAAGAGGTCAGGCTGTCTGAGTCCTTCAAAGTGTGCCTGGTTCAACAGCTTGCCTTTAGAGTGCCTTACCACAAAACAATCCATTTTGCTATTGTTGTTAAGCTCAAAACTGTCCTTTCCATAATTGTAATTTGGCCTCAAATCAATCATCCTAAAGGAAGTTGTGGTTTCTAAGAAACCCCATACTTTGGAAAATTATTCGTCAAATATTTTGTCAGCACCGCTTACCCGAGTGCACCGCAGAGGGTTGTGTCTAGAGGCTTCAAAAAATAAAAACTCCATAGAACAGACTGTTTTCTCTCCTGAATATCACATTATAAGGATTTGAATAAAAAGAAAGAAGTAGTCATTTATTAGGTTGTTGCATAAGTTCCGTCCGATTTTTTTGCCTCATGTTTGAAAGCAGCTGTTCTAAGAGAATTTCATCTCTAATGCGGTATTGTTAGAATCTTTAAAAAGTACTTTTCTTGCGCTTTCTAAAGCATATCAAATTTCAATAAATTTCTTAGCGTAAGGAGATTCCAGGCCTAAAATCTCAAAGTGGGCGAGGTACGTTCTCACCCTAGAAATATGTTCTTGCGAGAAAATCCCCACAATGCGCCCTTCAAGTCAAGTTCTTCCATTGGTGCGGAATAAGGGTGTAGAAGGCTAATCAGGGCTCAGCACAGCTGGCACCGGGTCAAGCTAGATATCGTTTCTAGGGCGGAAAGCAAAGGGGATATCGTTTTGACAGAGTCCGAGGCGAAGAAATGCCGCAAAAATGCCGCCGGCATGCCACCGGCAAGCTGTTTATCAACAAACAGAGGCATTGTTTTCAGCCAAAACGCAATACTATGATACCAAATTTGGTGTATGCATGCGCGTTGGTGGGCCCGAACTATGGCCCAAAAATTTATGAAAACTTATGTGAATGAAAGCTGTGCCGAACTTTTTTCTGAATTAGCTGGCACCGTGCCAGCTGGGTGCTAGCTGAGCTGGCACCGACACTTTGCTCAATTAAGTTTTCATACTTTTTTACTTAAAATGTATCTACACTTAAAAGATTACGTACGGAGAAGACACAGTTTCATAATCTTTTCTTTTCAGCGTTTTATAGCACTCTGAAAACTAC